CCCATCTTTACCACATCTTACCCACTAACCAGAATATTTTCTAGAAAAACGTAGACGTTCACTGGCAGGGTGCAGTGGCTCATGCCTGTAATCCCAGCACTTTGGGAGACTGAGGCAGGAGGATCACTTGAGTCCAGGAGTTCAAGACCAGCCTGGGCAACATAGTGAGACCCCATCTCTACAAAAAATAAAAATTAACTAGGTATAGTGGCATGTACCTGTAGTCCCAGCTATGCAGGAGGCTGAGGTGGGAGGATCACTTGTGCCCAGGAGTTCGAGGCTGCAGTGAGTCGTGATCGTATCACTGCACTCAGCCTGGGTGTCAGAATAAGATCCTGTTTCAAAAAACGAACAAATAAAAAACTTTAGGTGTTCACAAATTTGGTGAACTGAACCCAGCCTCAGGGCTTTTGGAGCTATTCATCCTTCAGGTCTTGAATTGGATGCCGCTTCCTGTAACTATTCCCTGGCCTCTACATCTAGGGCATGGCTCCATACCTCAATGCACAGCTTTCCCCATCCAAGCACATATACACAGTCTGTTAGGACTGTTTGTTTCCTCCATAGGCTGTAGCTGTGAGGGGACAGGGCAGGTGAACAGGCATCCACCTAGTACAGGTCCCTATTGCTTCCCCAAAGCCTTGATTTCCACTGGCAGCCAGTAGGCCCTCAAAATATTTGATGAATGATGCATGTCTGCAATGAATTGAAAATGACATCTGTATTTTATGCATTGGTTGAGAAATACTCTCCAACACACCACCACTCACTGTCTTTCAAAAGCTCTCTCACTTATGGAAAACAGTCAAAACACATGGAACATCTCCTCTGCTAAAACATTCCTCTAAATTAAACCAGATTATCAGTATCTTGAACCTACACGAGACAATACAGATAGCACCCACAGTTAAAACTATTTCTACTGAAATGGGCTTCAGAAAAGTTTTAAGAACCATCTCTATGAAACTAATCACTTTTATCACAGATATTGTTCAGCATACAGCATTCACCAAGAGACTATGTGACAGGCTAGCCTTTGTCCATTCTGTTTTGGCTCAAATAACCAGTTTATTTTAACTTTATAGACCCCGTGTTTGTGTTTTCTCTTAAGTTAGCTGCTCAGGAATCTTAAAAATCAAATTTTTGGGCCAGGTGTGGTGGCTCACGCCTGTAATCCCAGCACTTTGGGAGGCCGAGGCGGGCAGATCACCTGAGGTCAGGAGTACAAAACCAGCTTTGCCAACATGGTGAAACCCCATATCTACTAAATATACAAAAATCAGCCAGGCATGGTGGTGGGTGCTAGTAATCCCAGCTACTTGGGAGGCTGAGACAGAAGAATCACTTGAACCAGGGAGGCTGAGGTTGCAGTGAGCCAGTATCATACCACTGCACTCCAGCCTGGGTGGCAGAGTGAGACTCCAGCTTAAAAAAAAAAAAGGTCAAATTTGTGAGTTGCCTGCATTAAGTAACTGAGGTGCATTTTGTATACTCATTCCAGGCTCCATCTTCTTCTCATCTTTCTTCCTTTAATATGATTTTCTTATTCTGTTCACATATTTATAAGCCACCATGAATCATTAAATGACTTACAAATTCACATTTTCTTTTACTTTGGCAGCTCTTTGTGAATTCTAACACTGTTTTCTGTTGCATTAACAGAAGCTAGGTGCTCCTGGTTTGTATTAACTGGGACCTTGGAGAAGTCACTTCACTTCTTTGTGTTTCTTTTTTCTTTTGAGACAGGGTCTTGCTTTGTAACACAGGCTGGAGTACAGGGGTGCAATTATAGCTCACTGTAACCTGAAACTCATGGGTTCAAGCAATCCTACCTCAGTCTCCTGAAATAGCTTGGATTACAGGTGTGCATCAAAGAGGTCTCCCAAAGTCTCGGGATTACAGGCCTAAACCATCATGCTCAGCCTCTCTCTGTACTTTCTGAAAATGAGAACAAGGTCAGCTGTGGTGGCTCACACCTATAATCCCAGCACTTTGGGAGGCCGAGGCGGGTGGATCACCTGAGGTCAAGAGTTTGAGACCAGCCTGGCTAACATGGTGAAACCTCGTTTCTACTAAAAATACGAAATTAGCTGGGCATGGTGGTGCATGCCTGTAATCCCAGCTATTTGGGAGGCTGAGGCAGGAGAATTGCTAGAACCCAGAAAGTAAAGGTTGCAGTGAGCCGAGATCATGCTATTGCACTCCAGCCTGGGCAGTAACAAGAGTGAAACTCTGTCCCCCTGCTGCCCTCTCCAACCGCCAAAAAAAAAAAAAAGAGTACTCATATCACAGGGTTGGTTATGAATATATATGAAGCATATAGAACTATACCCAGCACATTTATCTGCTATGTAGGCATCAGCTATCATCATTACTACCCAATTCACTGATTAAAATAACTAGAACAGGGAATGCACTAATCCTTCCACTTTGACACTGATCAATCCACTAACACTCTGGTTTACGCTGTTTGTAGACTTTGTTAAATGCCTTGTTAAAGGTAACAGACATATGACATTCTTCCACTGACTAAAGAACATAAACCTCTTGTGTATGTAAACAAAAGTTAAGCGTCATAAATGATGTTCATATTAATCTAAAGGCAAAAACTTCTTGGAAGCAGAGAAGTAGTTTCATGGAAATCAGATGGTAAAGGACAAATGAAGTTAATGGAGTCATTTAAAAAATAACTAAACTTAAAAATGGAGTTAAATTACTCAATCATGAACATTTTAGTCTTTAAAATTTTTTTAAACAGTTTTCACAGAAATTAAAGTCCCATTAAAGGTAAAACCTCCAAAATAACCAAAGACACAATTATTTTCTAACACTTATGGACCCATGGCAAAACGAAAAAAGGGCAGGTTTCCTCCTGATTTACCACTTCCTGGATATTTGACTTCAGGCAAACCATTTATCTCTGAAGTCCTATGAGCTACCAGTCCTTACCAGTTTATTAATTTTGAATCCTTGTAACAAGGATAAGGGCGAATAACAACTAACTTGCTGTGCTGTTGTGGGAATAAAAAAAAATTTGTTTTTGAGACAAAGTCTCACTCTGTCACCCAGGCTGGAGTGCAGTGGAGCAATCTCTGCTCACTACAACCTCTGCCTCTCCGGTTCAAGCAATTCTCCTGCCTCAGCTTCCTGAGTAGCTGGAACTACAGGTACTTGCCAACATGCCCAGCTAATTTTTGTATTTTTAGTAGAGGAAGGGTTTTACCATGTTGGCCAGGCTAATCTCAAACTCCTGACCTCAAATGATCCACCCACCTAGGCCTCACAAAGTGCTCACAGGCATGAGCCACACAGCAGCCACATGAGAATAAAATATTTTTTAAAAAAGGTCTTAGCAAATTGTAAGCTGTGATATAGGTAAGATACTACTTTCAAAAAAAGGTAGGAATTCTAAGAATCCATTTGTATTCTAACACTATATCCCCACTTTGACTTTTTGTGGTTGTGTTCTTTTCTACTTATTTTTTATACAGATGGGGGTGTCGCTTTGTTGCCCAGGCGGCTCTCGAACTCCTGGCCTCAAGCTATTCTCCTGCCTACACCTACCAAAATGCCGGGATGGGATTACAGGCCTGCCATCTCGTTGGTCTCTCACTTTGACTTTTTTCTAGCCTTAATACTATTTGTTTACAAAATACCTCACTTTCACAGAACAAGAGCATTCTGAAGCCTTTAGGCTCTTAAGAATTTAGTAGCTACACAAGGTAATGGGAAGGAAAAGGCAAACTAGCTATTTTACAGACTAAATTCTAAGTAATATATGCCCAAATTGCCAATGTAACTAGGCGAATGCAGGCCCATTTGTCACCTGGTTCCAGCTTGACGTTGTTTGGTTAAACATCAATGCATCCATCATCTGATATTACAATGGAACAGAAATGCACGTCAGAGATGCTGGTTAAAGCTTAAACAATCAGACAAATGGCTCCCCTTGAACTTCTCCGATTTATTTACTCTAGAATATGTCTGAATGTAACTTCTACTAGAACTTGAATGACCGATTCTATCCAAAATTCTTTAAACTCTACAGGACACATTAGTGTACCACTAACAGTACATTTAACTTCTAACAACTCCAGGAAAAACTTAGCAGTGTTAATGAAACTTCCATTTTCTATGGCTTTTAAGTTGTCGTGTGCGAAGCGACAAACCAAACGGGGTGCACACCATCTCATTTAATCCATCCTCACAACCAGCGGAGAGGTGTTACCATCTCCCTTTTACACACACGTCTGTCTCACCTCTAGCTGGGAGTATTACAAGTCTCTGCCATTTCCATCACGTCAGTCTAACTCCACTCAACAAGCCAGAAAAACTCCCTTTATCTACAAATATCCAGGCCTGCGCAGCATACCTAAATTTAACTAACTTTCAACATCGTTTCAATTGTCCTGTTTCACCCGAGGGTATCAGTCCGCTTAATAGTGAAGAGAGGTTTTTCGTTTGGTTTTCTTATGTAATAGAAGTAAATTAAGAAAGAGAAACTGTCAGCAGGAACAGACTTTCAACTGCTTTTGCCCCCTGTGGCTAACGTCACAATAACATTTACCAGGAAAAGGTTTTGAAACGTGCCCCAGTGGCAACTGGATATTCTTGCTGTTCATCTCTCTCCTGTCATCCACTTTGCAAGTTCACCACTCCGGGAACTTTCCCGAGAGTTCAAGGTTCTTAATTCCAAAGTCAAGTCCAAACTTGAGCAGTGACTGACGACATTTTACAGCGTTAAGTTCTCCCCAGTGTCTGATTCTAGAAGTTTAGACTCACTTTGCAGGGAGCACTAAAGAATCGGTTTAAGGACAGTCACTGGCCTTAGGAAAGGGGGCTCCTGGAGAAAGAGCGAGCAAGCGAGGTGCCCGCGGTCTCCCCAGAAAGCGGGGAAAGCCCGTCCACTTGGGCCAGCACGCACGTGGGAGACAGGTCAGAGCCGGGCAGCCGGGGCAGCCACCCCGGGGCCCGGGGAGTGGGGCAGGGCCGGTTCGCACCTGAACCCGAAGGGTGGCTCCGGTCCAGGTCAGCGGGCGAACTCCGGGAGACACCCATGTCCCCTGGCGGGAGCGGTATCTCCTCATCACCGGCCTCGCCCTCCTCCCCGGCGGCGTCCAGCAGCCTCACGGCGCTGCCTGGGGCTCCTCTCCGCGGGTGGGCCCAGGCGATCCGCGGCAGAAGCGGCTCCCGCTCTCCGTTCTCCTCCGGGCTCCCGTCGTCCGCGGACGCCAGCCGGCCAGGCTCGGAGGGATCCGCCATGGACTCCCTCTGCTCCCTCCGCGCCGAGACCAGATCAGAGCAGCCAGGTGCCCGAGTCTGGGCTCTGCATGACCGGGAACAGGAGAGACCGGGCAGGACGGACGCCACCTCACTAACGATCCAGGCTGCTTGGTGCCCGCCCAGCGATTGCCCCGCCCTGCTCCACGGCCGCTACGCCCCACCTCGTGCCTCCGCCGGGCGCCACCCCTGCGCCTGCGTAGAAGGGCCCTTGGCCGCGGCGGGGGGCGTGTGGGAGTAAACAGGGGGCGGGACTTTTGATGGGCCAGGTGGGGCGGGGCCTCCACCTGCCTCCGGGAGCGCGAGGAGAAGCTGGGCAGAGCTCGCGGTACTCTCAGTGGAGGGCGGGAAACTTAGTAATTTCTAAAGAGGTGCCCTCCTGCAACCAAAAGCGGCCTCTCACTCCACGACAGAATTCTCTTAGAGTTTACCATAATCTTTAACTATAGATTTAGTTGTATGACATTTCTTTCCTCCACTAGACGTCCGGGAGGGCAGGGACTTTGTCTTTGTTCAGAGATTTTTGATAGTGACAGTTTGTATGTTCTCCCTTTCTCTTTTTTTCTGACTAATCTAGCTAGAAGTTTAACAATTTTTAAATCTTTTCAAAACGTCATGTTTTGTTTTCTGTTCTCTAGTTCATTAATTTTCTGTTATCTAGTTCATTGCTTTATTTTGCTCTTTATTACTCACTTGAGGTTTGATTTCCTCTTCTTTTTCTAATTGCTTAGAGTTGAAGATGATTGATTCTGGATCTTTCTGCTTTTCCAATGCAAGTATTTAAGGCTATAAATTGCCCTCTAAGCACTGCTTTAGCTGCAGTCTACTTTTTTTTTTGTTTAGAGACAGCATCTTGCTGTGTTATCCAGGCTGGAGTGCTGTGACATAGTCATAGGTAGCTCCCTGCAGCCTCAACCTCCTGAGCTTAAGGGATTCACCCACCTTTAAACTGTAGAAGACACAGTAGCTCGAACTACAGGTGTGCACTACTACACCCTGATAATTTTGTAGAGACAGGGTCTCACTGTTGCCCAGGTTGGGTCTCAAACAGTCATCCTGCTTTGGCATCCCAAAGCACTGGGATTACAAGCATAAGCCACCTTGCCTGGCCTGCTAATTTTTGTATACTGTGCTTTCGTTTTCCTTCAGCTGAAAATAGTTTTTAATTTATGATTTCCCCTTTGACCCTGTAAAGGAAAATAAAAATCTCAGAACCACCCCCACCCCAACTTGTTATGTCAAAGGGAGAGTAAAGCCTGGAGACTGAAGTCATCCAACACTACAATTCTTTTTACAAAGGAATACCTGTTACTTGCATCGTTGTATAAAAATTTTATACATTAGCCAGACCCTCCCCAAAATGCAAAAAAAAAAAAAAAAAGGCCTCATGCATCTCAGCCTCAGGATGACTATCCTCAACAAATTGATCATAAATAAATTATTTATTGGCCCTTATTTCAAGATGTATATCCTTCCTTAAAACAAGGACATATCGATTGTAACTACATCTGCAACCTAAATCAAATAACTAAAGTCTTTCACACTGATGATTTCAATTACAAGCTTATCTTCCCAGATGCAAAACAAGGATAAGATCAATCATTCCTTCACCTGAGATTTCTGCATAATTCTTTTACTCCATTTTCTTTGAATGTTCACCTTATCTTATGCATAGCATAGAGTTACTGGGCACTAATTAAAATCTAGCAAAAATGTAACCATGTGCCTCAGCACCAACAACCCTCTTCCTTGATGCCTTCTCCCCTTTAAAGAAATGTGTAAATACTGAGCCTCCGGGCCTCTCTGGGAGAGCACAGGCCACAGTGTGCTTTTCCTGGGTATGCTCTCAAACTCTGGCTCAACAAACCTCATTTGTCTGAGACTTTTACCTCAGTCTCTCATTTTGGTTGACAAGCCACTTGTTGAAGTGTGTTGTTTAATTTCCAAATATTTAGGAGCTTTCTTAGATATATATATTTTTAGTAAGTAATTTTTATTTTTTTAGTAGAGATGTGGTCTTACTGTTACCCAGCCTGGTCTCAAACTCCTGAGCTCAAGCAATGCTCCTACCTTGGCCTTCAAAAGTGCTGGGGTTTTACAGGTGTGAGCCATTGCAACCAACCTAAGATTTCAGTCTTTGGAAATTGACTGAAACTCATTTCATAGCCTGTCTTCTTATCTACCTTGGTAAATATTTCATGTGCACTTTAAGAGGAATATATTTCTGATTCAAATAGTAGAGACTGAAAAACTACATACATATATATAATAAAAAGAATGTGTATTTTGCAACTGAATAGTTCTGTAACTGTCCATTGATTCCATTAATATAAATATCAATTCAGTTAAATATTGATAGTGTTGTTCAGATTAGTTATATCCTTATGAATTCTTTTTGTTTAGTTCTATTATTTACAAAAAGGAGTATTACAATCTATGATTGCAAATTTGTCTATTTCTTCTTTTAATTTGGTGAGTTTTTTGCTTTGTGTATTTTGAAGTTGTGTTATTAGGTGCATACATAGGATTTTTAAATCTTCAGTTAGGTTTTTATGTCATACTGATTTCACCGTTTTTTTAAAATTAGGACTATAAACTTTCCTCCTTATCTCTATTAATATTCTTGGGTTGAGATATATTTTGTCTGATGTCAATATAACTACCCTATCCTTCTTGGGCTATTTGCTGTATAAATCAGTTTCCATTCTTTTCAATTAACTTGTGTCTTTATACATCTTTTCTTTTTTTAAACACCAACTTGACCCAGATATGTCTTTATATTTGAGGTATATGTATCTTATCAATGTTGTGTGTGGAAACACACACACACAAAAGTGTATGTATCTCCTATAGATAGCTTACAGTTGGTTCTTGATTTTCTAAAATCCAGTCTGATAATACCTGCCTTTTATTTTTATTTATTTATTTATTTTGAGATGCCGTTTTGCTCATTGCACAGGCTGGAGTGCAATGGTGTGATCTTGGCTCACTGCAACCTCCGCTCCTGGGTTCAAGCAATTCTCCTGCCTCAGCCTCCTGAGTAGCTGGAATTATAGGCATCCACCACCATGCCTAGCTACTTTTTATATTTTTCAGTAGAGACAGGGTTTCAGCACACTGGCCGGGCTGGTCTTGAACTCCTGACCTCAGATGATCCGCCCACCTCAGCCTCCCAAAGTGCTGTGATTACAGGCATGAGCCATCACACCTAGCCTGTACCTGCCTTTTAATTGGAGTTTTGGGTCAATTTACATTTAATGTAGTAATGATATGGTTGGATTGAGATCTGTTATTTTGCAATTTGTGTTTCATTTGCTTCAACCTTTTTTGTTCTTCTATTCTTCCTTTCCTGCTGTCTTTTGTGTTAATTCAATAATTCTGATTATTTCATTTTCATTCCACCATTGGCTTTCTGTTATACTTCTTTATATTAAGTTTTAGTGCTTACACTAGGGTTTTCAATATGCATCTTTAAATTATCTCAATGTACTAAAAGTCCACATTGTACTATTTGACATATGAGGTAAGAACTTAGCAAAAATATCATTCCATTTATGCCCATCCTTTATGTTATTGCTGTCATGTATACTAGACCTATATATTTAAATACAGTGAATAAATTTTGCCTTAATTGCTTTTTTAGAGAAATTAAGAAAACAATTTAAAGTCATTTATATTTACTCACATAGTTACAACTTCCAGTGTTCTTCCTTCCTTTTGTAGATTGGAGTTTCTATCTAGTATCATTTCCATTCCCTTTAAAGAATTTTTCAAAACATTCTATAAAGCAGATTTGCTGGTTGATATCCCCACCCGATATCAATTGTGTTTGGTTGTGTCCCCCACCGAATCTCACCTTGAATTCCCATGTGTTGTGGGAGGTTGGAGGTGATTGAGTCATGGGGGCAGGTCTTTCCAGTGCTGTTCTTGTGATGGTGAGTCTCACAACATCTGCTGGTTTTAAAAACGGTAGTTTCCCTGTGCAAGCTCTCTTTGCCTGCTGTCATCCATATAAGATATGACTTGCCCATCCTTGCCTTCCACAGTGATTGTGAGGCCTCCCCAGCCATGTGAAACTGTAAGTCCAATAAACCTCTTTCTTTTGTTAATTGCCCAGTCTCAGGTCCTTATCTGCAGCATGAAAATGGACTAATACACTGGTAATAAATTTAAGTTTTAATTTATCAGAAATTGTCTTTATTTTACCATCATTTTCAAATACTATATCCTCTGGATACAGGCTTCTGGGTTGATATTGCTATCCTTACCCATCCAAGTTCAACCGTAAAAATGTCATTCCATTGTCTTCTGGCCTTCATTGTTTCTGAATCATAACCCTTCACTTACACACTCAACTGTACTATATCATTTTCTCTAGCCACCTTTAAGATTTTGTCTGGTTCTTTGGTTCTTTGATTTTCTCTGCTTTCCAATAGTTTAACCATGATGTTTTTGGTATAATTTTCTTTACAAATATCTTGATTAGGTTTTGCTTTACTCCTTGGATCTGTAGATTTATGTTTTCCACAAAATTTGGAGAAATGCCATTCTTTTTTTTCTAGAAGCAGTTTATTACCTTAAAGCATTTAGCAAATCTGACCTGCCTAATTTAGACCAAATGTCTTTATTTTACCAATAATCTTTAAAACTCTTAATTTCCCAAAGCTTACTAAAGTCACATTGTTACAGGCTGTTAGACAGCATGAGCAGGGCAGGAGAGGGCTCTTCTCCCACCCACCAGGAATGTCGGGTGATGGTTAAGCAATTATCACATTGCCTCTCCAAAAGTCATACATTGGCCAAGCTTGGTGGTTAACACCTGTAATCCCAGCATTTTGCGAGGCTGAGGCGGGCATATCACTTGAGGTCAGGAGTTCAAGACCAGCCAGGCCAACATGGTAAAACCTTGTCTCTACTAAAAATATCCAAAAAAAAGAAAAAGAAAATTAGCTGGCATGGTGGCGGGTGCCTGTAATCCCAGCTACTCAGTAGGCTGAGTCAGGAGAATCAGTTGAACCCGGGAGACAGAGTTTGCCTTGAGCAGAGATGGCACCACTGCACTCCAGCCTGGGCAGCAGAGCAAGATTCCATCTCCAAAAAGAAAACCTCCTTTCTTTATAAATTACTTGCTCTCCAAATATACAAAAAAAAAAACAAAAAAAAAAAACCTCCTTTTTTTTTTTTTTAAATAAAT